AAAAAAAAAAACAGGTTTCTACCGTCTTCCCCCGAACACAACGCACCCTGATAATGAATGTATACACGTTATTTTTCCGGTCCCGATACCGTAAAAGATGAGGGTGCGTTATGTTCGGGGGAAGAGACTCAGTGTAGTGTCTTTCCACACTCGCCGCCCCTTTCTTCCCATCCCTTGGCGCATCTGCTCGGAGACCCCCCCCCCCTTTATCGATTTCTTCCTTTTTTTTCCCCCTTTTTTCTTTTCTTTTTTGTTCTCCCTCTTTGTTCCAGTCTGCTCTCTTCAACGTCTCCCCAGCAAAAAAAAAAAAAAAAAAAAAAAAAAAAAAAAAGTCTCCCCAGCCATGTCGGCTTGGTGGTTTGGAAGCAGGAGTGAGAAACCGCGTAGGACGTCCGGTAGATTTGCACGGATGCCCCTCCTCCCCTCGCCGAATTCCGACGTTCTTTGCTGCTCAAGACAGGACGTGGCGAAGTCGGAATTCGGCGAGGGGAGGAGGGGCATCCGTGCAAATTCGGTCAGCCCCACCCCCTCCCTCCCTCCCTCCCTCCTTCCCCATGTCCTCCTCCTCCGCCTCTCTCCTCTGTCCTCGCTCCTCTCTCCTCTCTGCTCTCACACCATTCTACTCTACTCCCCTTCCTCATCCTCTGAGCGGGGTCCTGCAAGAGACGACAAAGCACCTCGAGGATGTGCCACGTGGCGACGGAGATGCTGCTTCTCCGGTTGCCACGTGGCAACGCAAGAAGCTGCAGCATTGTGCTGTCACCAAAGGGGGAGAACCGAGAGCGGCTTAGGACGAAAGAAGTGGAGGAGAGGGAGTCTTCTTTTTTTTTTTTTTTTTTTTTGAAGACAAAAAAATCCGAATCAGATTTCTGGCAAGCCTGCCTCCATCCTGGTGGAGAGGGGCTCTTTTATAGACTGGACGTCGATAGTGGAGAAGTACTACAGACGTCTGTGTGTCAGTGGACAATAGAGGAGACGGAAATACTTTTGACCGAACGAAGAAAAAAAAAATTGACGGTATGGATGTGTGTGTTTTGTGTGGATGTGCGTGTGTGCCTGCGTGTTTTTTTGAGAGAGGGAGGGAGGGAGCCAGGGCCAGTGAATCTCGGATTTCCGCACGTAAGGGTTCATTATTACGATGCCAAAAAAAAAAAAAAAAAAAAAAAA